CTTGCATTCCCATTGGCTGATTTAAGGGTGGGCAGGGTAACTGACACATTCTGTGGGTTTTTTCAGAAAGGGGTCATGTCGGGGACATAGTTACACAAGATGGAGGACGCAGTACAAAATGGAGTCAGTCCTGCTCTGCCTTTTCATTCCCACCTTGTCTGAAACTTACGGGCCCAATCATGGGACGGACCGCATTTCTACCTCGCCACCCGCTACTAGAGGCCTGTACTGGGTGTGCAGAACCATCAACTGAACCGCCCCTATGCGTTCTTTGACAAATTGGACTAGTCTGTTGATAATGCAAGGGCCGAAGGTCAACAGCATTAGTAGGATTACAAGGGGTCTGGAGAGGGCGGAAATAAAAGTGGTTAACCATGGGGACCAGTTAAATAAAGATTCATACCAAGACTGAGACTGCTCCTTCTCTAACTTTCGTTTCTGCAGTCCCTCTCTTATGAGGGCCATGGATTCTTTAACAACTCCCGAATGGTCAACATAAAAGCAACACTCCTCCCCTAGGGCTGCACATAGGCCTCCTTGCTGCATGAACAGTAAGTCCAATCCTCTTCTGTTCTGGAGTACTATTTCAGATAAGGAAGTAAGGGATTCTTGTAGATGGGTAATGGATTTCTCAATTCATTCTATGTCTAGGTCAATGGCTGCTCTTAGGGTTCTATAGTTCTTGTCTTGTATGACTAGCGAGGATATCCCGGTTCCTGCCCCTGCTAGTCCCAGCCCTAAGAGCGTGGCCAGAGTTAGGGCTGTAACAGGTTCTCTTCTACTTCGGGGGTTAGCAGAACCTATCCTGTTAAGCATTTCCTCCCCCGAATGGTATACTAGCTTGGGGATTAGCTGGACGAGTATGCAAAAGTCTTCTCTTGAGGAGTTGAGGATTTGGGAGTGGACGCAGGGAGCGAGGCCACTGGAACAGGCCCACCATGCATTTTCGGGGGGGAGCAGGTAAGCTGTCCCACTAGGGACTGATAGAGTGTTATTACAAAGATGTGATTGTTCAGGGGGCACTCGGCCTCTGCAAGTACCTTGCCCTATTACTGCCTGGAGGGTTAGTCTTGCAGTGGCTTGCTGCCACCTGCAGGAGCAGGAATTGGAGGCCATTGTATAATTGCCCCTAATAGCGATAACTTTGTAATATGGTGGCTGGACATCTAGACAGAGTCAATAGGACTCAGTCAGGTCAGGTTGGGAAGTGTTCAAAACATGATATGCTCCCATGATCATGTTCCATAGGGGGTCTGTGTCAGATGTTGAGGTGCGGATCGGGGCGGGGAAGGCAGAGGGCTGTGAGGTCGGGGCCTGGGTGGGGGTATTTTGAGGTGCTAATACCCGGTTAGGCCCCACCCCTGCTGGGACCTGCTGGGCTACCTGCACCCGGAGGGTGAATAGTGTTCCCCGGTCTTGGGCTGCAAGCCTTACTTTGTCATATAGTCTAATTCCCCAGGTTTTTCCAGCTTCCCATCCAGTTGCTTTCTTTCCCTGTTCTGTGAAGGATATATTTACAGGGTTACAGAGACTCTCTCGGCCGCAAGGTGGGGCAACCGGCCGCTTTACGGTGATTAGATCACCGGTTTTCGGAGGAGTCCATCAGATGTGTCCGGTCGAGACACACGACCAGGAGGCGCAGAAGTAGTCTGCCGCGTCCCCACATGGGTTGCGAGCGTGACCCCGTGTTTGGGTCCACAAGTGGCAGGGACAAACATAAAAATGGTTTTGCTTGCAGATGAATGGTTCATATTCCATGGGCAGTCTACCAGAAAAGAGGCTATGGAGGTCTTCCCGGAGCTCCAGGAACCATGTGTCCTTGGGATGGATCTGGGAAGTCTGATTAAGTATAGTTCCTGAGCTGGTGTCTATGATCTGCCAGGTAAGATTGCAAGGGGCGTGGGGACTCCTAGCAGGGTAGGTGACAGCGAACAGAGTCAACAGAGTTACCGACATCAGGCGGGTCGAATGCACGGTAGCTTGAGCTTGAGCGGGTTGTGCTGATTGTGATCGAGGCTCCATTGTGTGATGAGGTCCTTCCGGACTGCAGAGGGATCAGCTGGGCGGACGTGGGTGTGATGGATCCAGGTCGCGACGCCGTCTACCTTGAGAGCGATGGGTGTAGTCAGCACTATGACGTAGAGACCCTTCCAACGCGGCTTGAGGGTCTCCCAGCGGTGCCTTTTGACAAAAACCCAGTCTCCCGGTCTGTACTGATGAGGCGTCGGGGTCCGGCCAGCCTTGTAGATGGCACGGAGGTGCGGCCAAATGTCCTCATGTGCCCTCTGGAGTCCTCTTAAGAGAAAAGATATTTGATTTTCAAATTCAGCAAGAAGCTCAGCTTTAAGGTTAGGAATGATAGGGGGTGGCCTGCCAAACACGATCTCATAGGGAGTAAAGCCCAGGGTGTAAGGGTAGTTCCTCACTCGGTAAAGGGCATACGGTAGGAGAGCCACCCAGTCCCCGCCAGTCTCCATGGTTATTTTAGTAAGGGTCTCTTTTAGGGTTCTATTCATCCTTTCTACCTGCCCTGAACTTTGGGGCCTATAGGCACAATGCAATTTCCAATCTGCCCTTATAGCCTTGGCTACTGCCTGTGTTACCTGTGAAATAAAAGCTGGCCCGTTGTCTGATCCTATCATAGCAGGAAATCCATACCTGGGTAGGATGTCTTCTAGCAGTTTCTTGGCTATCGTCTGAGCTGTTTTATGCTTGGTTGGGGGTATGCCTACCCATCCAGAAAAGGTGTCTATAAATATTAAAAGATATTTATAACCATACCTCCCTGGCTTGACTTTGGTGAAGTCGATTTCCCATTGAGCTCCCGGCTTGGTTCCTCTGACCCTGGTTCCTTTTTCACTTGACCCGGCCCTCGCGTTTGTGAGTTGGCAGGTCTTACAGATGGATACAACTTGATTTATTTTTGAGTTTTGCTGGTGAATCTTGATTCTGGCATGCTGGATTAAGTTCTTTAATTTCCGGGCCCCCAGGTGGGTGGACCGGTGCATGCGTTCTAACACTGGGACTCCGAGAGGGTCTGGCAGTATGAGCTCCTTGTCTGGTGTATACCACCATCCCTTTATCTCCTGGGCTAGGGGAAGTTTCCTGATCCGCTGAAACTCCTCCTGGGAGTATCTGGGTTGGTCTGGTAAAACTGGGTCCCCCGGGGCCGGTAGTTGTAGGGCCATGGTGGGGACCGAAGTAAAGGCCACTGCCTTGGCTGCCTGGTCAGCCTTTTGGTTACCTCTTGCTACCGGGTCATTGGCTCTTTGGTGTCCCTGGCAGTGGATTATGGCTAACTTGGCAGGAAGCCATAAGGCCGTAAGCAGGTTGAGTATCTCCTGCTTATTTTTTATAGTCCATCCCTCTGCTGTCAGTAACCCCCTCTCTTGATAGATTGCCCCATGAACATGAGCTGTGGCAAATGCATAACGGCTATCTGTGTAGATGTTGAGCCGCTTTCCAGCTCCCAGCGTCAGCACCTTAGTGAGGGCGATGAGCTCTGCTCGCTGGGCTGACATTCCGTTCCGGAGGGTAGAGCTTCTGCCCATACGGTGTCCGTTTCAGTGACCACCGCTGCACCCGCGTACCTGTGCCCGTCCCGTATAAAGCTGCTCCCATCCGTGAACCAAGTGGCCTCGGCATCTGGGAGAGGCCAGTCGGTCAAGTCCTTCCGGAATCCATGTACTTGCTCTAGGATTCCCGCACAGTCATGTAGTGGGGCATCTAGGTCAGGGTCGGGCAGCAAAGTGGCGGGGTTAAGGGCCACAGTGGGGTGGAACCGCACTCTAGGAGGGTTGAGCAGAAGGCTCTGATAATGGGTCATACATGCGTTGCTCATCCATCTATCAGGAGGCTGTTTCAGGAATCCCTCAATGGCATGCGGGGTTGTGATCCGGATTTCCTGCCCCAGGGTCAGTTTGTCAGCGTCCTTGACTAAGAGCACTGTTGCCGCAATAATTCTTAGGCACGGCGGCCAGCCGGCAGCTACTGGATCTAGCTTCTTAGACAGGTAAGCTACTGGGCGGCTCCAGGGGCCCAAGGCTTGAGTTAAAACCCCTTTCGCTATTCCTCTGTGTTCGTCTACAAAGAGGTGAAAGGGCTTTGTAATGTCTGGCAGGCCCAGGGCTGGAGCAGCTAGGAGGGCTTTCTTTAACTGGTTAAAGGCAGCCTCTTCTTTCTCAGTCCATTCAAATGCCCTCCCCTCTTTGGTAGCTTCATATAGGGGCCTGGCGATCTCAGCAAAACTCAGTATCCAGAGGCGGCAGTAGCCGGCCGATCCTAGGAATTCCCTTACTTGCCTTCGGGAGGTGGGAGTAGGGATTTTCAGGACAGTTTCTTTTCTGGCATCTGATAACCGCCGCTGTCCGCCCTCTAGGATGTATCCCAGGTAACTTAGCCTCTCTTTGCAGATGCCCGGTACCCTGAGGCCCCTAAGGTGGCCAGCAGATCCCGGGTCCCCCGCTCACAGTCCTCGGCCGAGTCGGCAGCAATCAGGATGTCATCTACGTACTGGAGGAGAGTGAGGCCGGGGTACTCCCTCCTGTACTCACCCAGGTCCTTGTGTAGCACCTCATCAAAGATGGTGGGCGAATTCTTGAACCCCTGGGGCAATTGTGTCCAGGTTAATTGTCCACTGTAGCCCTCCTCCGGGTTGTGCCATTCGAAGGCAAATAAGGTTTGGCTTTGGGGCGCAGTGGCAGACTGAAGAATGCATCCTTTAAATCTAATATGCTATACCAGACTCTAGAGCAGGGGTGGCAAACTTTTTGACTCAAGGGCCACAGTGGGTTCTTAAACTGGATTGGAGGGCTGGAACAAAAGCATGGATGGAGTGTTTGTGTGAACTAATATAAATTCAAAGTAAACATCATTACATAAAAGGGTATGGTCTTTTTTTTTTTAGTTTTATTCATTTCAAATGGGCCAGATCCGGCCCGGGGGCCGTAGTTTGCCCACGGCTGCTCTAGAGGGTGCCAAGGAGCTCGAGAGAGTATATGGGTTGGGAACAGTTGGATGTATATCAATGACTCTTTTATTTAGACAGGTAAGCTACTGGGCGGCTCCAGGGGCCCAAGGCTTGAGTTAAAACCCCTTTCGCTATTCCTCTGTGTTCGTCTACAAAGAGGTGAAAGGGCTTTGTAATGTCTGGCAGGCCCAGGGCTGGAGCAGCTAGGAGGGCTTTCTTTAACTGGTTAAAGGCAGCCTCTTCTTTCTCAGTCCATTCAAATGCCCTCCCCTCTTTGGTAGCTCTAATCTTGGTCGGTAGTCATTCGTGTGAGGCTTCCTGACTGGCAGGAGGTGGGTATTCCAGGCAGACTGGCAGGGAAATAGTACCCCTACGCTTCACAGCCTCCGGATGTGAGGCTGGATTCCCTTCTGGGCCTCCTGAGACATAGGATACTGCTTCATCCTTACTGGGCCTTCTCCTGGTTTTAGCTCTACTAGGATTGGGGTCCTGTGAGCGGCTAGTCCTACCCCCACCCCCTGTCTCTGCCCAAGCTGTGGGGAATTCTTGTAGCCATCTGTCCATGTTGTTCTCTATTGGGGACGCCTTCTTGTGGAGGCGGTACTCATCCTCCAGTCTCAGAGTCAGGACCTGGATGGGGTGGACTTTGCCGTCGTTGACCTGAGGCCCCCCTTGACTGAAAATTATCTGAGCTCCAATCTTGGTCAGTAAGTCCCGTCCTAATAGTGGGTAGGGGCATTCCGGTATCACCATAAAAATGTGGGATACCTGGCCCATTTCTAGATCTACCGTTCTTCGGGTAGTCCATGAATACTGGCTCATACCAGTTGCCCCTTGTACCCAGGACTTCTTGTTTGCTAGCTTCCCCTGAGGTATGCGAAGGACCAAATATTGTGCTCCAGTGTCGACAAGGAAGTCAATAGGGGTCCCCTACACGATAAGAGTTACCCTGGGCTTGGGGAGGGGGTCTGAACCCCGACTCCCCTAATCGCTCAGTTCATCCAGCTCTAAGATTTTCACTCAATCAGTCTTGCTTCACTTCCCGCTGGCCTTCTTTGTACATTGTCGGGCCCAATGCCCTATCTCCTTGCAGTAAGCACACTGATACTTCTGCAGCCTCTGCCTCCATTCCCTTTGTCTGGTATAGGGTGGGCTTCCCACTGGAACTCCTCCACCCTCCGCTCTCGGAGCAGCGTCTGCTTCCCTGGATGGTGGGTGGCTGGGTCCCTCCGGCACTCTAGGGGACTGATATGGGGAGGAAAAATTAGTTGTTCTTCAGTTCCCCCCTGTAAGACAGGGTAGAGGGGATCTGATGACTGGATGACCTTCTTCTCCTCCTTCTTCTCCATCCCCTGCAAAGCAAGAATAGGTCTCGGCTCTGGAAGGCGTGGGGCCAGGAAGGGCTTAAGTCAAGAGGGTGGGTCCTCCACAAGGTCCTCCCAAGTAATAATGTAAGGGAGTTGATCAGGATGACCCTTCTTGGGCCGGGAGACGACGTCTCTGACACAATGGATGGTAGGGAGGTCGAAAGTTCCGTCTGGTGGCCACCCGACATTGAAAGTGGGCCACTCGCTGGAACAAAAAGTCTGCCACTGACCCTTCTGGACCTCCACACTGAGCTTGTTGGCTCTTCCCCTAATCTCTTTGAAATGATCAATCATAATACTTAAAACAGAGAAACACAAACACAAACAAAGGGCCCCAAAGAACAGTCTTGCAACTCCGTGGAAGCAAAACCAAAAGCTAGACAATGGCCTCACGCCGAACGGCGGAAGCGACCAGCCTTGCCTCAGATTTGTGAGGGGAATCCACGTCCCTCCAGAAAGGAGGATCAGAATGTCTTCCAAGTCCTCCTGCCCGTGGTCCTCCAGTGTGTCCACTTAGACCAGCCGTGGGCAAACTATGGCCCGCGGGCCGGATCCGGCCCGTTTGAAATGAATAAAACTAAAAAAAAAAAAAGACCATACCCTTTTATGTAATGATGTTTACTTTGAATTTATATTAGTTCACACAAACACTCCATCCATGCTTTTGTTCCGGCCCTCCGGTCCAGTTTAAGAACCCATTGTGGCCCTTGAGTCAAAAAGTTTGCCCACCCCTGACTTAGACCATGTCGGGCACAACCAGAATACTAGAGATGAGCTCACACCAGAGGGACAGAAACACACAAACACACAGACACCTACCGAGGTCAGTGAGGCTCTCCGGGTTGGAGTCCCTCGTGGGTCTTGGCGATCCCGGACGAGCCCCCAAACGTTATACATAGATTTCAAGATCCCCAAATACCACCAGGGAGCCGAGTCCGATGCAAAAGCAAAGAGCCTTTATTCAAGCTCGAGCTCGGCCTCTCCGCCTCTACCGACGCAGCGGCAGGATGCAAAAGAGCCCCCATTCCCAGAAGTACAGCAAGTTTATAGGGCTTGGGGTTGGGTGGTGGGATGATGCTCGGACCACTGAGTTGGCTGATTCCGATTGGTTGGGAGATGGCTAGGGTCCAGTTAGCATACCTTTGGCTTTATATTATTCCCCTTGCATTCCCATTGGCAGATTTAAGGGTGGGCTGGGCAACTGACACATTCTGTGGGTTTTTACAGAAAGAGGTCATGTCGGGGACATAGTTAAACAAGATGGAGGACAAAGTACAGAATGGAGTCAGTCCTGCTCTGCCCTTTCATTATCAAATTACCCAGGTCCACACCTTTAACACCAATAGGCAAGAGTTGATGCTGAACTTTACCCCAGTCTGGAATTGAGTTTGCTGCCTCATGATATATTAAAGGTTGAGCTTTAACATCCATAGAGGATTTTGGAGGTTGACATAGACTCTTCAGAATGATTTGAGAATTTGTATATCGTCAAGAGCAGGGGTCCTCAAACTTTTTAAACAGGGGGCCAGTTCACTGTCCCTCAGACCGTTGGAGGGCCGGAATATAGTTAAAAAAAAACTATGAACAAATTCCTATGCACACTGCACATATCTTATTTTGAAGTAAAAAAACAAAACGGGAACAAAAACAATATTTGTATTTGCATGTGGCCCGTGGGCCATAGTTTGAGGACCACTGGACTACAGGATATTCTGTCCCACTGATTCTTATCTCTCCTCTCCCCCTCTCGCATGCAGGAACTCCATCTTCTGTTCCTCGAAAATCCTGACATGTCCCTGACCCAGTCCCCAGCTTTAAACCCGGCCACTCTCCTTCCTGCTGCCTCCACCCTACCTGCGGCAACGCATTCTTGCCCCAAGGTCGTCGAGGCTCTCACTCAGCCTTGGGCAGGACTCTCAGATTCTCCTCTCTCCAATCCTGACTTAACTCTGTTTGTGGATGGAAGCTCCTGCCTGGACCAACAGGGAGGTCAGAAAGCTTTCTATGGGGTAGTAACACCAGGTGGACCCTGGAGGTGGCCCGACTCCTAGAGGGTACCACCTCTCAAAAGGCCGAGGTCATTGCACTGACCCGCTCCCACACCTGGCCAAAGGGAAGAGGGTAAACATATATACAGACTCCAAGTATTCCTTTCTGATAGCCCATTGCCATGTGGTTATCTGGAAGGAAAGGGGCGTCCTCTCTACTAAAGGCTCACCTATTATCAATGCTAGACTCATAACACGCTTACTTGATGCCTTACAGCTTCCCTCCCAGGTAGCCATCATGCACTGCTGAGGACATCAGACAGACTCCGCGCTGGTTATGCGGGGAAACGCCCAAGCAGACGCGGTAGCCAGAGGCTTAACTCAGGATGAAGGGTCCCCAGCCCCAGTCCTGTTCCTTTCCGTTCCCTCCATTACTCCTCAATACACAGAAGAAGAAGAAAACAAATTCCTGCAGTGGGAGGCTCTCCTGGTCCTGAGGGATGGATCTTTATAAACAACAAAATCGCCCTTCCTCGGGCCCAGACAGGGCCACTGCCCAACAAATCCACCGGTCTTTGCATACTGGACCACTGGCACTTTGGAGGTTCCTCGAACCCCTCTTCACCTCGCCCACACTGCGGGAGGTGATCACAAGTACCTGCTCCTCCTGCCCCACGTGTGCGGCTGTCTCACCCCCGGGAGGGTTGCGCCACAACTTTCCCACCCATCAAATGAGGGGACACCTTCCAGGGCAGGACTGGCAGGTAGATGTCACCCATATGCCTCCCCACAAAAAGACCAGTTATCTGCTTACCATGGTAGACACCCTGACAGAGTGGGTGGAGGCCTTTCCCACCTGCAAGGAATCTGCTGAAGTGGTGGCTGAGACCCTAACAACACACATAATCCCAACGTTCGGCCTTCCCACCTCCATCCAATCAGACAACGGCCCAGCTTTTATATCAAGGGTCGTCCAGCAGGCTAGCACCTCTCTTGGCATCTTCTGGAAACTACACATACCCTACCAACCACAATCATCAGGTAAGATCGAGAGAATTAATGGACTCTTTGAAGACCATCTAACTAAACTCTCTCTAGAAATTTGCAGCTCCTGGCCAGACCTCCTGCCCATGGCCCTGACCAGAATCCGGGGTACACCAAGGAGCCCCACCTTCTTAAGTCCTTTTGAGCTTCTATATGGGAGACCCTTCTTGCTTAACCACCATCTCCCTGTTGATCCTCCTCCCTTGGGTCCTTATCTTCCATATTTGTCCCTACTCAGGCAGCTGCTCCGAGAACACATAGACAGGTTTCTGCCCAAGCCAGAACCAACCAAGCAAGGTTCTCTAGGACCAGCCCTTCACTCTCGTGACTTGGTCCTCCTTAATAATCTACATCCAAAAGCTTTGGAGCCTAGGTGGAGGGGACCTCACACTGTAATCCTTACAACCCTCACTGCGGCCAAACTGCTTGGTGATCTGTTGTGGCACCACCTCTCCAGGCTCAAGAGGACCCCGGTGCAGCATGACTTCTATAAATGTGAGGTGCTGGGTCCCACCAAGGTCCGCCTTAGTCTCCCTCCCCCTTCTCCTTCTCCTCCCAGCCCTGAGCAACCTACACCCACCCCCACCCGCTTATGTATGGAGGTTCATGGTCCGTGAAACCTACTACCAGGATGACAGACAAGTCACCTGGCAGGTACGATCTCAGGACTGCCCTCTGGTCGGACGCCAGACGGAGATCCTGATGGCTGTCGATCTCCAGTCAGTGTACAACCTGGGGCGACCCTATGTCTGTTTTGCTTATGACCAGCGGGACCCAGAGACGTGTAATCAAGATGTCGACACCTATGGGGGTTGCCGCTGGAGAGGCTTGGTCACTCATGATGCCTATGACGAGGTCTGGACTGGGCCCTTTTTCTGGAAGGATGGGACCTTCAACATCAGGGTCCGGGATCTCTGTGACCAGCGATGGGTTACGGGTATTATGGGAACGCTACACTGGAATGATTGGAGCTCTACCCCTTCAGGGACCATTTATACCTCCCGGGAGTATGTCTTGGCCCAGATGGCCGAAATCCAGGTCTCCAATAGCATCCTACAGGCTGAACAGTCCCTTAAAGGGAAGCTTCCTGACTCCCCTGGGTAGAAGTCCTATCTTCTTGCCTCCGACTTATTCAACATACTCTAGTATTCCTCAATGAGACCTGCACCCTGCCCAATGTCTCGCGCTCCTTTCTATGTGACTCTCTCCAAAGGCATTTGCTGGCTGCCATCCCACTCATAACTCCTCCAGGAGCCCAGGGGCAAGGTGAATGTCAGCCTCCCTTGGCTGGCATTCCCCTTTGGGAGCCCAAAACTTCAGAACTCACGCTTCACCCACGGATATACTACCAAACCAGTAATCTGGTAACTGAGGGACGAGTCACTTGGAACTGTACCCAAAACTACACCGAAGCCAGTCTCACCAAGGCCAGCCGGGGTACCTTCTTCTGGTGCAACGGCACCTTAAGCGACTGCATAAATTCCTCTGACCCTGTGCCTTGCTTCGTGGTCACAGTAGTTCCCCAACTAACCTTGTATGGAGAGTCGGAGCTCACCTTGCTGCTCCCTTCATCCCGCTCCCGGGCTTGCCGGGCCGCCTTCCTCCCTGTCATGTTGCAGGTGAGTATCGCTGCCTCGGTAGGCCTCGCCAGGGGTTTGTGTGTGTGTGTGTGGGGGGGGGGGGGGTC